CTCACGTAACATGGTGCGCGTGATTTGTAACACGAAAACCATAAGCTCGCATTGCGTTCTCAGTTGTGAGCTTGTTATTGGCAACAAATTAACACAATTCTCGATTGTTTTTAACATTTCAAGTAATTCATTTAATAAATTGGTAGTTTTTGTTAAACTTTATTAGCGCAAGAAAGAAATTAATTGGAATTGGTACTACGCTTCGTTATCCTTTTTGTTTAGAGAGTTTTAGAAGGGATAATCATTCGCTGATTTGAATTCTTTTTTTGAAAAAAAACCTCTTTTTGGAAAATCTGAGGTTCTACAATTTTCAACACATTTTAATAGTAATAATAGCAATCTCTTCTTTCTCTCTGCAGAGCTCAGCAAGATAGTGAGCACTATGAGCAGCTAGTAAAAAATTGCCGTTTTTTAAACCTAATTTTTTGGGAAGGAATTTTTTGTTTTTGTTGGGTAGTAAATTTCAAAAAAAAATTTTTTTATTTTTCTGAAATCGATATCGATACACATAACTTTATTTGATGATCTATGTTGAAATTGAAATTTGAAAGCCTTTTCCACGTGATAAACATTTTTTACCATTTATCATGCAAAATAATAAAATCTTTTTTTTCCAAGCGAACAGAAAAAGATTTGGTTTTAGTTAATGTGATAAAGACCACTATTAACTGATATGTTTTTAATTAACAAGTTTACAACTGAGAACGCAACGTGGTGCTTTTTTCTTTTTTATTATTGTTATGCATGCTGCGCTACGCAAAAACCAAAATCTATTTTATTTTAACATCATGTTAATATTAAAATTAAGTTTGGTTTGGTTTGCACCTTCTTTATCATAAAGAGTAAAAAAATCACATCACTTGAGTCAAGACAATAGTCTATTTTATTAAATTCGAAACATATAAATAGGATGGCCGTCCTCATATTTTTTTCATAACACCAACGTAGAATTAACGTTATTTTATTTATTTAATTCATGATTAGATTTGTTACGCGAATAATAATTTACATATACGAAGGGAAATTATTCATGAATTTAATTTTAATAAAAGTCCAATCCATTTGAGAATTAAAAGATGTGTTTTTACTAATTAATGCTTCACTGGAATTTGAATTAACAACCTGAACCAATCAATTGCTTATGAACTAAAAACTCGGGATTTTTTTGCTCATAGTGATATTCTAATAATAATAATAATAATAATAATAATCTAATACATAAAACTGTTCACGTTAGATGAAGCCAAGATGTTTGTTAATTAAAGTTTTAACTTTACGCCAAAAAAATTAAACATAATTTCATATGAGCATTATCTGATTTGGATGTGACTTACACCCAAAATAATCATACCACTTATTAATTGCTGTGGTGGCTCTTTCTAAATTAAATAAAAAATGTAGACGTTACACTGATGTTTATTACTTCTTACTTAGTGTTAACATAAATAGAGAAATCTGATTAGTTAGAGATGAAAAAAACAACGATAGTCCTTAAAATTTTCTATATCAAAAAAAATTATCATTTCTACACGTATAAACAATTTTTTTAATATTTATGAAAAACTTATTATTACTTATTATTTATTAGAAATTTCAATCAAAGGATTCTAATTAGTATATTTAAAGGCTGTCCTTCTCTTGTGTAAAAACTGATCAATCTATAACGCAAAATTGAAAAGCGTGAACCAGAGAAGTCTTGGCCAAATTAAAAAGCAGCAAAAAGCAATCAGATTTATTTTTTTTTCTGCATTACATAAATGATATTATTATAAATAAAATAAATAACATTACTCCTTGAATTCTTCATTATTACGCGTTCTTTTATTCGACAATGGTGTCTGGAAACAATGAGGTATTCTCATTGTATTGTTGTTAGTTTCTTTTGTCAAACCCGCATTTTTTACCAATTCCCTTACACTCACACTCTCAGATTCATCTTGATCTTCTACATTATTTAATATCATATTTAAACATTCCTTGACTATAGCCTATCAACAGAGCATTTAAAGTAAATTATTAGAAAACAATGACATCAAAATGATTTCAACTATTGTTGCTGAAGAATTTTTTTATCTAACTTGCCTTTGCTTTCCATGTAACTGACAATAAGGGTAATGTTTCTCTACTATGTGTTAACTCACTATCTGCCACTTTGAAAATTTGACTACGACGCATTCTGCATACATAACCTTCAGGGCAATCTAACTCAACAATCATTAGACGAGAGCCTTAAAAATAATTAAAAGAAAAACTTACTGGTCAACAAAACAAAGTACATAAAGTGGTTTGACTGATTAGAATAAATTGTTTCACTTACCTCCATGTACAAATCCAACAGTTCTTATCTTTTGTAATATTGGTTTGGACCAATTTACTTCGCTCGCCAATTGCACTAACATATCTTTTAGCATTTTTGGTAATTTTAGTCCACTTTCTACCATCCATTTAGTGCCTTTTTCACTTTTAAAGAATCTTCCTGCTTCAGAGCTTCCGAATTCCAGATTTCCAGCTGTTCTTATTATAAGGTCACCCTTCCTCCCGATTTTCCACCTTGTAAGAAAGTTTTTCCCAGCGATTGTTCTACCAACATTCTTTCTTAATCCAGATGCGACGCTTGCCGATTCGCTTCTAATAGATTAATATGTTGCAAATTAATACAATTATGTAATATTAAGACCTCCAGCAGGTTAAAAGTTTACTATTACCTAACCATTTCCATGTCAGATATATTGGAAAAACATTGATCTATTATAGGTCCCCATAAATGAATATTATACCAATTTTCTAGATGTTCTTCTTTTAAAGATCCACTTTCATATTCGCGAATCCTGAGTTGATAATGAATTCATTCAATTCTGGTATATAAATTAAAATAAATATTCAAATATAGTTACTTACAGTGAATGCATCACTAATTTGAACCAATCGAAATCATGATGGAGTTCACGGTTATAATGAGTGCTATCACTATATGGTTTGTCGAGAGTTTGTCGAAGCTCTTGTATATTATTCTATTCATAAAAGAATATTAATATTGAGATACACACATACAAGTTATATATATATATAGACTAACACAAATTTATATATATTTACTTTCTCAAAACTCATAATATAGTCTAACAGGTCGTCTGGAAGTACTGGTAAATTTTGAACTTTACTATCGCGAATTTCCTTCATTTCACTTTCATTAAAAATACCTTCATTGATGTAAGAAATATCTTCTGTATCTAAAATAAAGCTATGCGATAAGCTAATAACAACAGTATGAAGAAAAGAAAAGTCACAATGCTGAATAAGATCTTAGATGTAATTAAAACAAAGAATATCAATCAAATTTACTGTTCGTCCACGCATTTTAATCCAAATTCGTAGAGGGAATCTTCCACCACTTTTCCGCTTGTCAATTTCCACTTACTTTCATTTTTCATAGATTCATACGCGTTGGTAAAACTTACGAAATCAAGTTTTTGTTTTGAGGTAAAACTGGTATAATTGTTTGACGTTGATGCTTTGAATGATGAAAAGCCTTCAAAATCATACGGATCACCCATCCTCATGATTTGATGTTGTGGCGTCTCCTTTAAATTCTTTGAGGATTTTGAAAATGATTCGATTTGTATATCTGCGATATTATCGGTGATGATTGAGGTTGATTCGGTTGGTTGAAGAGTAGGAGAAGGAGAAGATTCGTCGTTAAAATGAAGGAGGGTGCTGCCAATATAAGAGAAATAATGTAATCATTTAAGATTGTAACCACTGATTTTTTTTAAAAAAACTAGAGTGAAACAAGTTGCGATGTGGCGATAACCACCACCATTCTTAAAACACTTACCCCAATACACCAGATTCGTCTTGTTGGTTTTTTTTTCCTTGTTGTTTTTCTATTCTAGACATTTTTTAAAAAATTTCTTTTTATTTAGAAGATGAATTGATAAAAAAAAAATCTTATGATATCAGTCAGACGACATTTCATGCGATCGACATGTCTACTGTAATAAACTATGTAGAAATTTTGTGCAACATGTCAAATTTTACTATTAAAATCTCATTTTTAATTAATTAACGTAAGAAAACAACAAAATTAAACCGGTACAACGTCAACGTACATTTTTGGTCGAATTTTTTATTTTTTTGTAATTATTTTTTTGATACAGTCTTTTTTTATCCTATTTTTTGATAAAAAAGGATTTTTAATGTTTCACGAAAATGGTTGCGTTGTATATATATTGTTATCATTGATCATGATCATTGATATCATTATTAATAATCAATTTTTATTTTTATTATTATTATCAGTTTTATTATTTATTATCAATGATCATGATCATTG